ACTTATAAAGCATGTGAAGCAATTAATTACTATACAGGAAATTCATGTCTCTCTCGCACTGTTAATCAAGCTTGTCATACTGAAAATATGAAGCAAATATTCACATTTCGAGTTTATATAAGTGATTTGCATAAACAGCTAGTTAAATACCATGAAGATGACGAAGAAGATGACCTCAAATCATCGATGAACATGTTGTACCGTGGGAAACCACTATCAGGAAGCGTTCTCCAACAATTGATTGACAATGAAGATGGTTTAATCTTAATGAATAGTTTTCTTTCAACAACAGTAGATCGTGATGTTGCTTTAAGATTTGCTGGTAGTATAGGAGAGTTTACTGAAGGACAAAAAGGTGCTTTATTTATGCTGGAGATTGACAAAAAGGTGAGACAACCATATGCTTATATTTCCAGTCATAGCGCAATAAAAGACGAATTAGAAGTTCTATTTTCCCTTGGAACTATCTGGCGTATTAAATCCATTAACCTTGATAAAGATCCATGCATAATTGATCTAGCATCATGCGATGAATTGGATTCACAATCAAATGAGCTGCTCAAAAAGTACACTGGAAATGGATGTAATCTTTCGTCAGTAGGTGATATATTACTTGAACTCGGAGAGGATAATGACGCTGAATGGTTCTATCAGCAAATGCTTAAACCTTTCATGGACAGTGACACATATATGTGCCGCTTTTTTTCTTTTTGTTCTTGCCTACCTCTCCTCACCTTCATCTATCCAAAATTCGCCCGTGAAAGGGTTAAACAAGATTTTCTTGATGATAAAACTCGCGGCATCTTATATTACAAAATTGGAATGATACAATTTAATAAAAAAGAATATAATACTGCGCTCCCGTACTTTGAAAAAGCTGCATCCTCAATTCTATCATCGCTGAATGAATCAAAAGAGATCAGAACACCTCGATCTCTCTATGTGTATGATAATCAATCACCTTTAATCACGAGCTATAACAATATGGGCTTAATCTATGAAAAAGATAGTGACTATGACAAAGCGCTTCATTATTATAAACAAGCATTGAATGTGAAGAGCGTATCAAAATCAGAAATGGCAACATTGCATAATAATTTGGGTCTTCTTTATTATCGTCGTGGTGATTATGGGGATGCGCGAGAACATCTTATGACAGCTACGCAGCTTATTGATGACAGTCATCGTAACTGGGTAGAGTTCAAGAGAAATTTAGATTCCGCTGAAAAACGTTGCCAACATCTTGCAAAGAAACAAAATGAGCAACAGCAAAGAACAATTATCGACGAACCAACTCAGCGGATATTTCATCCTTTCTACATTATTCTTGTTATCGTAGCTTTAATAATATTCCTATCAACTATATTTTTAATTCTTTGAGATGAAACTCTTATATTTATGATTCTAAAATTTAGATACAAAATAAAGCTTTTGGAGATACTGAAACATTTTTTCTATGTTTGTTTTTTCTTCTATCTTCAAATATATTAGTTGTACTTTCAATATGTATTTGAGAGCAACAGTTCGATCATTAACACATTCAGCCTGACATCGCCCACCGGTGGGGGACGCTATAGTTTAACGAGAAACTGTATAGAAAAGCACTTTCTTTTGCTTTTTTCTTAAGGCCACCCCCCCCCCCCCCC